TTCATAAAACACTTCTCACTCTTTTGCCTTGTAGCTTTTAGCCTGTTCAAAATTCATAACTCTACACTAAGATCACTCCAAACCTGCTGGCTTTTACCCTGTAACTTCATATTCGAATAGATCCTAGTGGATAACGACCAGATAATAGTTATTTTAATACACAATAAGTATTGCACAATAATATATGTGCACAAAACTTTACTATATAGTCTGCAGCATGCACAAATCCTCCAATCAGCATTAACAGTATCATAAGTTACCAGTGAGGAGCTTGAAAAAGTCTGCATGAAAAATATAACTGTACCAAGGGAGAACGCAGGAAGATGTTGGCTTTTTTGTCATTACTATCATGATCGTTGTCACCACTTCCTTTACTGGAGAGATATTTGCCTGGAGACTCTCTCCTGCCTCTTTCCAGGTGGTGCCTGAGGAGTGGCTTTCCCTTTATTCTCTCTCCTTCTCTTTTTTCCCCTCTTGTTTGGTTCTCTAACAGATTTCAAGCCAAGGTAGGTCATCAGCTATGGGCTCCACTAATAAAGCATGCATATGTAAGCTTTTCTCAGTGTTCTCTACGCAACACCCATATGATGATGGTGAGTTTAGAACACGTCATTGAAAACTTTACTGAAATGTTTTGCTGAAAATAAACCTCTCATTCCATGGGGTTTTTTTGTACCATTCCATTGCAAAGAATAATGGAGTAGGAAAGGAAGAACTAGACAGCAGGTAAAGCCTTTTTTGAGGTTTGCTTAATTAGTTTTCAATCCATATGCCACTGACAAAAGACACTACTCAGGTTCTCAAAACAAAAACTATGATGTTAATTGGTCTCAAGGGACTAATGGCAGAATCCAAGGTGAGGGAATTTTTGTCAACTGTTTTCCTTTTGTTTTGAGCTTTTTGCCTAGTCTTTCTAGTATCATTGGATAATGAGCTATGAAGTTAACATCCCTATATTATTTATCTTACCAAGAAAAAATACTTTGCATACAAAAGCCTTAAAATGTGGAAAGAAGGCAAAATGGTGACCTGAGGCAATTGTCATTCCTTCTGAACATGGGTGATTAAAATTTCATATCAGGTCTCACATTAAGGTGATTAAGGTCTCATACAAATCACTCCTCCTTTTCATTTTGAAAATAGAGTCAGAATGCCCACTACACACCAGGTGAAATCTGTTAATGTTTCCTGAATATCAAAGTTTCAGTTTTGAAATAGCAACAACTCAGATCTACTATTACTATATTGCACCATATTTTGAGGAATCGTATACAGTAAGACTGAAACAGTAACTCAAATTAAAAGTGGCAATGTATCTGAAATACAGTGGGTCCTGGATACCTGCACATCCTTATTACTGTCTGAAGATTCAGAGATTTGGCTACTGATATTATATAAGATTTCTTGCTCATGAACAGCTCTTAAATGAGAAGTCTCTCTGTCTAAACATAAGGTAAAAAATAACAGCTATTCTCAGACTTATTCTGATTTCTCAGATGTGAACTCAAATTCAAATCTTATGTTACAGATAATTTAAACAAAACAATGAATGTCTCTAAGGTCTTGCAGAAATCTCCAGTCCTATGCAGGCTAACAAGTTTCCCACTTATGTTTCAGTCTTGATGGAAATTAACTCAGTGCTAAACATGACCAAGTATATTAATTATAATTGATGATTTTGCTATGAATACTAACTAAACTGTTAAAAAGAAATAGCTTATTGAAGAGTGTCAGCAATTTATTGTAGAGCCCTATTATTAATTATTCATATAATATTTATTATGACAAATTAATGCAATATTAATGTGAATAGAAGTGAACAACAACTCAGTGAAGATTTTGCTCAAATAATGTATTAATGCTCCATTAAAAATCAAGTGCCATGTAAAATTTAATAAAGGAGCAACACCACTTAAATATGAAATGAAAATATTAAGTAGCTGTTCATTTTCAGCTTTCAGTTTTTCACAGTTTGCTTTAGGAACACTCCAGGCAGTTGAAATGACTAATGAGGGACAGGAAAGTAATGCACATTAGAAAACAAACAAACAAAACCAGAAACAGAAAAAAAAGCCTGAACACTCAAACCTAAATTTGGTGTATTAATGTGTTATGCTTGAACTCTATGCAATGCTTACCATGAAAGGCTAGTTTTAACTGAATACAGTGTACATCATATAGTGCACAAATAATATTTTCATGAGATATCCTAGGTAAAAATCTGTTATGGTTTGTTAAGGAGATAGTGAGCAGGGAAAACCCAGACAAGTAGAGAGAGAGAGCATGTAAATCATGTAATGGAAGGAAAATCTCAAACAATCTCAGAAAGGAGATTTGAACTTATTCTATCTAGGGTGATCAAAGTGTTTTGTTACAAGTCCTTGTGAACAGGGGAAAATATCCATCTCTAATAACAAGCATAGTTTTTTAGCTATAGTGATGTGTAGAGGAGCTAGGTAAACACCACTCACATTAGGCAAAATATTAAAGACTCAAAAGAAAATTATTAGTAAATACAAGCAACTATTCACATTTATTTTGTCTTATCTTACTACTGCTTCAATTTTGCATTTAATTTTACAGACAGGATATGATGGAATAAACTAAATTTATTATTTTGTATCTAATTTTTTTCTTATAGCAGAGCCATACCTTTTGTGATCTAATAAACAAGGACTTACTGTATCAAAACCCTCAGAGATTAACAAAATCAGCAGAATGAAGTAGCAATTTCTGAAATATCTTTTGAAAAGAGAAGGTACCTACACTTGGGCACTCTGCCATTCGCTGTAAAGGTGTCCCCACTCAGGTTTCAAACCCATTGTCTTCATTAAGCTGTGAACAGAACATCTTTGGCAAGTAGGAAGGGAAGAATGGAATGTCTCCCCTCTTTCAGACTTTCATCAGCATATCACAGTGTACCATAAAGGAATACCAAAACTAAAAGGCTCATTCCTCCCCTGTTAGAGGATCACTGCAAACTATAAACTCACACTTCAAAAAGTATATAGGACGTGACTTAGGTGTGTGGCAGATGCATGCATTTGACATTTAAATAAAGTAAGCTCTTCTTCCTCAGCCCCTATGTATCAGTCACCTGTCTCTGGAAATGTGGATACTCACTGGGCATTAGTAGCATCTAACTTCTTTGGAACAAGCTGCTCAGCAAAGTGGTTGAATCACCATCCCTGGAGGTGTGTCTAGAAAAATGGGAAAAGTGTCTCATCTGCAGGGAAGCCATCATTGTTATTTGACTGTTTTTGAGGACACCCTTACAGGAAATAAGATTTCTTTATGGATGACCCCACTACCTTTGTTTTAAATAATTCAATGCAGAATGTACAGGCAGTGGAAGCAGGGACAGGTATCATTGGAAGAGTATGTGGATGCTGCCTGGCTGTGCAGGGATGGGGTCAGGAAGGCCAAGGCATGGCTGGAGCTGAACTAGGCAAAGGATACTAAAAATAACAATATAGGCTCCTACAGGTATGTCAGCTAGAGAGGGAAGGTCAAAGTAGGTGTACACCCCCTGACGAGCAAGACTGGTAAGCTTTTAACAACCGATGCAGAGAAGGCTGAGGTACTCAACAAACTTTTTGCCTCAGTTTTTACAGTCAGCTTCTCTTCTCACACCTCCTAAGTGGATCAATCAGAAGATGGAGATGGGGGTGGGGGGAAGGGCAAAGTCCTTCCCAATGTAAAAGAAGATCAGGGATGTGATCAGCTGAGGAAGATGAACATACAGAATTCTATGGGAACTGCTGAGATGCATCCCAGAATCCTGAGGGAATTGTCTGATGTAGTTGCCAAGGCACTTTCTATGATATTTGAAAAGTTCTGACAGTCAGAGGAAGTCCCTGGTGAATGGAAAAAGAGACACATTGCACCCACTTCTAAAAAGGGTTGAAAAAGGAGGAGCATGGGAACTACTGACCTGTCAGCCTCACCTCTTTGCCTGGAAAGATCAAGGAATAGATCTGCCTAGAAGCTATGCTAAGGCACATGGAGGACAAGGAGGTGATTCAAGACAGCCAGTATGGTTTCATCAAGGGCAATTCCTGCCTGACCAACCTAGTGGCCTTTTATGTTGGAGTGACTACATCAATGGACAAAGGAAGAGCCATGTATGTTGTCTATCTGGATTTCTTTAACTCAGTTGCCGACAACTTCCTTTTCTCTAAACTGGAGAGATATGGATTTGATGACTGGACTGTTTGGTGGATGAGGAACTGGTTGCAGAGTCACATCCAGAGAGCAGCAGTCAACGGGTCGATCTCCATATAGAGATCAGTGACAAGTGGTGTCCCTCAAGGGTCTATACTTGGACCAGTGCTATTTAATATAATGGCATAAAGAGTGAGATTGAGTGCACACTCAGCAAGTTTGCAGATGACACCAAGCTCAGTGGTGCAGCTGACATGCCAGAGGGACAGGATGCCATCCAGAGGGACCCAGACAAGTTCAAGAAGTGGGTTCATGTGAACCTCATGAAGTTCACCAAGGCCAAGTGCAAGTTCCTGCACTTGGGTGTGGGAAAATGGCCTAGTTTGTTCTGAGGGAGGAATATGGGCTAATGTAGTGCACTTTGGGAGAAAGGTTATGATGTTTGTGACCATGAGATTCTTGTGATATTTCTGGGGTTGGAGACCTGTTGAGTTGGCACACCAAGCTCCCTGAAGGAGGGAGTCTTGGGAAGATAAGACAGCCCAGTTTCAGCTAAACCAATAAAAGCAACCAGCTTTGACATAAATTTTGAAGGCTATAGTGTCAAAGCAAAGACCTTTGCCTAATTAGCAGCAAACTTAATATTAAAGTGTGCATCCTTAAATATGGTAATGAGCCGAATGGAGTACATGCTAAACATATATATGACTACGTTACTCAACTTTCGGCTCAATTCATGCTAGACGTCCTCCTAGAAGGCAGGGACAGACAGGATCAGGGTATAAAATAATCACCAGGAGGAGTACCTCTCCTGCTGGGGGTAGGGGACAGAAGAGTTAAGGTCTAGCAGATGGTCGACAGCCTGTACACTCCTCTTCCTCCACCCAAGACACAGGCACCTTCTTGGTACGAACTGCACCTTCAGCATACGGCATGCCTTTTCCTAGCACAACTGTTATATATTAGCATTATTACAAAGACTTGCATCTTCCACAACATCATAAGTTACCTGAGAATTACTAACTTGAGCTCAATTTCCCTCTTGCAGCACAAAAGCGATCAGAGGGATTAAACACTTCTCTGCTGAGTAAAGGCAGAGAGAGTTAGTGTTGTTCAGCCTGGAGAAGAGAAGGCTCAGAAGAGATCTTATTGTGGCCTTTGAGTTGTTAAAGGGGGCTTCTCAGAAAGCTCGGGACAAACATTTCATCAGGGTCTGTTGAATAGGATAAGGGGTAATGGTTTCATACTAAGAGGAGTAGCTTCTGTAGGAGAAGCCCCGCTTTAAGAGAGAAAAAAACCAACCAAACAAAGAAACTTTAATCTTCCAAGATGAGGGAAATCTGACACCACCTTAGATAACAATCATGTCTGTTCCTTAAATAGTGCAAAAGCAGTCAACCCTAATGGTCTCCATCTCCAACATTTTAACAGTTAACAGTAAAACTCTTTTCATGTAGTAGCAAGTAGGTGGCTGTAGGCACAAACTGCTTTCTAGTCAGGAGGGAGAGATCCAACTGGAGGACACATTTAGAAGTGGAATGATGAGCCAAAGAGAAACTCTAAGTAGAGTCTTCAAAACTCTGTGATGAGCTGCAATAATACTGTATAACCACTTGGGGTGCATGGCTGAGATAAACATTAAAATAATTCTAAATGAAAAGATAAGAGAACAAAGAGTTGACACAGGGAAACAAGATTAACAAGGGCACCTGTTTATGAATGTCTATCTGATTTTGCAGACAGTCTTGGCAGTATCATTTTGTTATGAAAAGGAGAAAAAGGGGTACTGCCGTATTCTAAAAGCCAGCCAACTTCCAGGCACTTAAATAAAGTCCTCTAAAGTTCAGGGAAAGACCATCTGCCTGCACAGCATGGAGAAAAGGACAGGGAAAAACATGATAATGTAGTCCCTATGGGACTCAAAGTCTAGGACTAAAAATGATGGTCATGATGTAATGCTAACCAGGAAAATTTCAGAACATTTTGGAGATGAACCCTGGAGGAACTTGACTTTGGCATGAAATTATTTACTTGGATGGAGAATGGTGAATGGCAACACTTTTTGAAATCCTGCTGGTTTGTTGTTTGTTGTTTTTTTTTTTTTTCACAAGCAGATGAAGCTGAGTATTATTCACAGAATCAGCATGTGCCTGTGTAGATGTTTGTTTTATAAATTAAATGCAATTAAAATTGAAGGACTTTCATCCTGAATGTGAGTAAAAGAATCATGAAAGTATATATTACCATGTGTCCTAAAAGGACCAAAAATCTCTTCTTGTTATATAACGATGGGTGATATATCTCTTCTTGTTATATAACTTATCACATGGATGAGTTTGGTCAATGTAGAAATTATGAGGAAGAAATAATGAAGAGGCTACTGAACCCAATAATGTACTTAATAATTTGTGCCACTGAGTTGAGATTAGATTTAACTTCTGAATGTACACTCTAATGCCAGCAGATTTCAAGACAAGTAGTTTCTTTTCACTCTTTTGAAAAAGAAGTAGTCTTTGTGTGAATTCGTCTTCAAGGTAAGAGGCTATCTTCCCCCCTAATGTCTTAGGTACCATGGCAACAAGAAATGAAACCTCTGTAAACATCCTTGATGTTAAGAAAAAAACATATGAAAGCAGGTTGGACTGAAGAGCACTGAATGTCTTTCCCCCTCCATTTTACTTCTTTAAGATTTCCTTAAATTGAATTATAGATATCTTTAGTCTCCTACTTTTTTAGAGACAAAATTTTCTTCATAGACTGAGTTAAAAGAGTTATTTAGATATACTATTTTAGATAAGTAATGCTTGTCCATGCATAATTTATAAAGAGCTTTCTTCATCACTTAGGAACTGGGGTCTTGTATATGGGTTTAGTGACATGGCTTAGAACTAGTCCATAAATTTATTCAAAATGGAACATAACTGACACAAAAAGGAAATGTTGAGCTCTCATTAAATAAGTTTCCTTTCTCCATGAATTACAGACTTGTCATGATGTATATGATTGGATATGTATAGAGAATATAGACGCATATCTGTGTCTGGCACGGTAAGCGGTTACATTAGTCCTATAAATTCATGGCTAATTAAATGGCTCATACTTCATTAACCTAATTATTGATACTTTGGTAATCTTTGCAGTTTTGCAGTATGTCATCCACATTATAGGGCTAAGTAAGCATTTTCAAAATACGAGGTATGAATCTCTTATTACAGTACATTATGTAGTAAAAGATAAAAATATTGAAAAAAAAAAGATGGAAGACAACCATAATAAAACAAAACAAAACAAAAAAAGTCTTCTCTCTTCAGTGCGGGGTAACAGCTTTGCTGCAGATCAATAAAATTTTATGATATCTGAACTAAACAAAACATCTATTTGAATGGAACACAGAAGCCCACCAGAAAGAAACACCACACATAAAAAGCCCAAACACCAAACAGGCAAATATCCCAAATTGGCCAAGACCCAGAACTTCTTGAAGATTCTATAAGTCAAATAAGATACAAATTTTTATAGGAACTAATTAATACAGATTATCTTGCTATATAGTGTAGCGTAGACATGCATTCCAATTCTCCTTCTAAGAAAACTAAATTTATGTATGGTAATACACTGAAAGGAAATGCAAGCAGGCACACAGTTTCATATTGAATTTACATACTGAAAATGATAACTTTTTCAGCCATTTGTGTGGTTGAGCACCTATTTTCATATAAATGTTGGCTGCACATAACGGAAAAATAAATGTTCCATAAACAATACTGGTCCAAAATTTATATTCAAATGACACATGAATAAAATTAAGCAATAAATAGAGCAAATATCCAAACATGAAAATGAATTATAAAACAAAAACTTCCATTTTATGAAGTAAGGTTTACAAGATGTTAATGTTGAATAAAATCTTCAACACCAACTATATAAGTTCTCATTCTAGCATAATTCTTCATATATATGTCACTTCATAATAATAATTCAATTTTTGCAATAATATAAGCTGAACAATATTGATTTACTTTTCTCTTATTCCATCAAATCTCTCTAACCTCATAAATAAAGCTGATAACTAAGGAATTTGGCAACACACAGAGATAACTTTACAAATAATAATACTTAAAAGGGTTTATTAAAGCGCGTATAAGGACTGGCAGATAATACGTTTAGTGTATGTTACCAATTTTAAGTTCTTGATGATTTAAAGATGTTAGTAAAGATTATTTTCTTATTTTTCCAGTGTTGTCACTGCAGTTAAGATAGATATTCTCTCACTACATCCTAAGTGCATTTAAATACATTAACTATTCAGTCTTTATGCAATTTCCTGTTTGGAACTTGGCATTTTCTGAATTTAGCTAGAGGAGCAGCAACAGACATTTCTTATTCCAGCAACTAACTGTCTTTTATATAAAAATGGACTGCTGAGATTCCTCTTACACACCACCTACCATGAGGAAAGTTTTTTGTCTTCTAGTATTTGCAAAGCTTGGTTATGAAGACAGGGCTAGAATTTTTCTGAAATTTTAGTCAACACCAAATTTAAAGTAGTTGTAAGTTTGCCCCCACTTTGGGTAAACTGCAGCACAACACTACACAGGCAGTTTCAGCTTATGTGGTACAAAGATCCTCCTTGAAAGGACCTCAAGGGTTCAAAGGATTCACTGAATGCACTTCTCAGAGATTGCAATTGATTTCAAAACAGAAATTTCATACCTTCAATCTCTAATCTGTGAATCATTGTCTAGAAAGCCCTTCTAAAGCATGCCAACTTCCCATGTATACTATAGACAGTACCAATTCACTTTCCAGAGATTAGATTAGCTCAGAAATAGAGAAATAATAGCACACAGTCATGTAACAGTAGGAATCTGAAGTAGGTCCTATGGAACATAACTGCAGGTAACCAGAGGTGCTGGATTACAGAAGTGCTTCAGCTCTTGGTCACAAGGGTTCATACATGTGCTAACAAGGTATATGGTAAAGGAATAATGAAGACATTGAGATGAGATTATAGGAATAGCAAGTCAACTGGGACACTTTTGTCAATGACAGGTGATGCATAAATTAATAGATACATAAATTGAAGTAACCTCCCTCTAAGCATTTGAATTATGTCTGGAGACTGATTCATCTCACTGTAAAATACCTAAATGTATGCAACTACACTTCAAACAGTCAAATTTAGAAGTTTGGATCTCAGTCTGAATCACACCCACTATAAAATGCCTGCAGACTTAGAATCCCTGCTCACAATCCATGGTACGAGAACTAGTTAAATTCCTGGACATGACAGCTGGTGAGGGACACAGAGCTCTCCTCTGGGCAGTTACATAATGAATTTGTAACCTTTCACTTTGTATTTCCCAGTAAATTGACATAATATCCGCTCATCTTAGAGGCCTCCAAGTCTGCATTTGGAGATTTGGAGGGTTGTTTTTTGTGTTTGGGTTTTTTTTTTTTTTTTGGTTTGTTTTTGTTTTTTATTTTTCTCCTTTCTTTCTCCTTTGTAAGACAGAGCCAACCATTATTCAAGTATACAGGTATTTTTCCCTTTCTATAATTTGTTTATGTTTTTTAAGGTGTCAGATATTTTAAGGTGTCATATTTTTAAACTGTCTTGTAATTTGATATGACTTCATGGAAATTAATTGCATTCATACATATTTTGTTACATACAGACACTTTTCTTCCTAAAAAACTTACTTTTCTTCTGTCAGTCATCAAAATATGTGATTTGCTTAGAAAATGCTTTATATTAATATTCTTTGCATCCTAAAAAATTATATCTGTACTGAAAACATTCATATGTTGACTGTGTTAGAGTCTACTTAAGGAACTTTTTTAATGAGCAACAGTTAAGCAACATGCACTAGCAAGAGTTTCATTTTCAGTTTTCATTACACATAGGTATAGCCTAACGATACCTCGGTAAAGCTAATAGACAACATATTACTTAAAGAATTCTCAAGAACAAGGAAATAGGGAGCTAACTTTCCATTCCACATACATACAGCCACAAAATAGCTGAACACTCTTAAAAGTAAGGGGGAATAAAACTGCCAGGTTCACCAAGCTGAAAATAGCCTAACACTTAAATCCAAAGTTTCCAAATGAATGGCAAAGTCCATAATTTTTTTTTTTTTTTTTCCCCTCTCATCTGCCACTTTCTTTCATTATGGGTTAAACAACACCAAGGTTTTAAAACAAAATGAAAAATAGTTTGCTGTTTTTCATAAAAACTATTTATATGTCTTACATATATGTACAATGATAAGACTGTTTTTAGATATAGAGATACATCCTTTTAAAACAAACAAAAGAAAAAAGACGAAGCTGAGTTTCTCTTAATAAAATGAAAACTCATTTAAAACAAGAACCCTCCCCTAAGGAAATCCATTTAGAGCTCTGTGGAACTATTTGACATTTCAGAAACATGTCAACAGTGGCTGATCAGATTCACTTGACATGGTGGTGACAAAATCAATTCACAAATCAACTGCAGCAACTGTGCAAATTTCATAAAATCCTGTCCCGTAACTTTTCCCAGAACTCAGTTGGAGCTTATTACTAACTTCTAAAAACAGCATATTAATGTTAAAAATTATGGTTTACAATGCTATAATACAGTTTATAGTTTATAAACTGTAAAAAGACCAAACCAACAAGTTAGAGCTACAAGCATAATAACACAATATGAAAAAAGACGTTAAAAACCAGCCAGGGGACTCTATAAAAGGCTATTTTCACCTAAAAGCACTGAATGTTATTTCTTTACACTGAAAGACAAAGTAAGAAATTTATAACTTAATTATGGCAAGCACAGTTCAATAATTAAATTTACATTTTATCTCATAGGACATTTTGATCTTATTTTCAATCACAGTTCTAATTATTCCTCTTTCTTACTTTTGTCCCTTAAGTAAAAGTGACATGCATTACTTGCACTGACTTAAAAGTCTGTATGGCTTGGGGAACAATCCTTTCAACCCAAGCACTGAGTCCTCTGTGTAATATTCTTACACATGCCATGTGCTATTAACGATTTGATGAATGAAATGAAAGCATGTGACCACCTACCCACACACCTTGGCAGAGGTGCACTCCACACACGACGACCACCTCCCAGGCAGGTCAGTTTATTAGCACCTTCCAGGCGATACCCGGGGAAACAAGAAAAGATCAACGAATCTCCAACACCAAAATGAAATCCAACCCTCCTACTGAAGGCAGGAACACCAGGATCATCACATGGCTCCAGATCATATTCTGCAGATAATAAAATATAATGTATAAATAAATGGGACAAGTTGTCCATGTGGAGGGGGGTGGGGTGGAGGGGAGGAGGACCAAAGCAAACCAACCAAACAACAGATTAGTTGCATTGTATCAGTACAGAACACTTGGAAAACACGTATTTCAGAGTTGTGTTCTCTGCTAGAACCCAGTACTGATTCTATGTTTAATAGGGTTATATAGACAGCAATTACGTATCTGTTGTGCCCCACCCACACTACATTGGTTGTCTTCAAGGGCTGTAATCAGCTTGTACTCTAAGCAGTTTACTATAATTTTGTTTCATTGCATCCTTGGCGCGAACTAAGAATTCATCCTTTTTGAAACTCCCAAACAATTTCAAAAGTGTGACTTACAGTTAAAAAAAAAAAAAAAAAGCTTATATAATGAAGAAAACCTAGCAACAAAACCAAATGGTCATCTAAATGAAAAGACATATGACCACATTTTCAAAAAATGTGCCTGAGTTTCCTAAGTACAGCTACGCTGTCCACAACGCCTATTTGCAGCCAGTTTGGAAATCCTACAGGTGTCAACCAACTGAAAATACAAACATTGTTTTTTTTAAAGAAGTCTTAAGTGCCAAATTTTTTTTTTCTGTTTTTTTAACCATGCCTCAAGAATAATTCAAGTGGAGTCAGAAGAAATTAATTGGAAAAATCAGGGTTGTTACATACAGAGGGACTACACCAAACTCAGGAATTACCTGAGCCACACATTCCCTCATCCTTACAGAGTATGCTGGGGAAGTATCACTATATGTTTGTCCTGTGTTGTGGGATTTTCTCCTCTTTAGACATTCACTACTGACCATTATTAGAGAAAAGATTTTGAGAATGATCAACTTTACATCAAATCCAAAAAGTCCGATTTTATATTCTTCAGAATATGATCCAAAAGGCACCAGAGATCACCTAGAATCTGATAACTGATGAGAAAAGCCATTTTCTAAAACGTTTATCTTACAGGCTGGATAAAAGATATTCTCAAAATATTTATTTAATATAAATGATGGCATATGATGGCTACGTGTATCAGTTGTAGGTATGGCATAAACATTTGCATGAGTTTGAAAAATTCTGTGATCCACATTTTATTACTCTACAATTTTCCCACTTGCATCCATAACAATATTTTGTGTATTTTTCTAAAAGTTATTTAGCCCTCTACCATTTTGAGTTATTTATAAATAAACTGTCAGAGATCTCATTTAATATTTGCATTTACATTCTGAACATGCAAAATGGCTGACCTCTGACTCGGTTAGTCCAAAGGATCCAGAAAAAATTTAATTCCGCATTTGATATGAGTAAATCCAACACTATTTCTCTAATTAGTGTGGGGGTTTATTTTTTTTTTAAAATCAAGCTAAAAGAGATACATTATCTATAAATAACATGTTCATCTGTAAACATTGTCATATGTCACCAAAGCATATGTACATTTTTACAGTTCTTGAAAAAATTATATAAGAAAGTTGGGTATATGAGTTTCTCATGTGCTTCTTCCAGAGAATATCCATGTGCATGAGCATCTCAACTAGCAGCTAAGATGTATGCATAATTGTAAATATTTTACATTTGAGTAATAG